TTTTTTTTATTTATCGGATACTTAAAGTATTTCTATTCACCAAAAAAAGGTCTGAAAATCAGGTTTAGGTATGAAAGAATAGTTGGGGACAAATTTGAAAAATTTACATCACAGGAAGTGATGCTACTGTCATGGCGCTACGTCCGAATGTCACTTCGTATTTTCCCACCAATTGTGACGTCATGGTAATGTCACATGATGGACATTTTTTACATGAAAATGTGAAATTGTTTTAATGAGGAATAATTATTATTAATAGATGAAACTTTACAATAAATTCATTCAGTCACTGATCAGATTTTAAATTATTACAGTTAGTGCATAAACAATTAAGGTTATTAACATTTAAATCCCAAAAATACAAAATAAAATTGTTTGAGTTTAAAAACTCCATAATCTGAAACATTACACCCAAAGACAATTCTTATTACAAACATTACTCCCGTCTCGAACAGCCTTCTGTTTACACGAGAGTTGAACCCGTTCTTCCAAAATGATTCATGTAGTCCATACCATCGACGTATGTAGGTCTACTAACTTCTTTCTAGCAACTTCCTGTATTACTACTCTTAGGTTTTTTTCAGTAAAGTCACGTAGGTAAAAATAAAAAATAAAATAATAATAATAAAATACAATTATAAATCACGACGTTTCCGAGGCAACACAAGTCTCTATCATCAGGTGTGACTCTCAGCTAGATTTACTGTAACCAGTGAGGCGTTTAGCCCCCCCCCAATACGTTCCATTCATTGGCTACCACATTCAGATAACCCCTCCCCCCCTCCTCCCTCCTTAACTTGTATTTATGAACTTGTATCTTGGAATTTTTGCCTCACTTGATACAGTAAATCTAGCTGTGACGGTCCCACCTGATGACGGAGACTTGTGTTGCCTCCGAAACGTCGTGATTTATAATTTTATTTCTATTATTATTTCTATTATTTTATTATTTATTTTGACCTACGTGACTTTACCGAAAAAAACCTCAGAGTATGAATCCTTGCAGTCACGAAAGCTTCAAATCTAGAATCCTGTATTACTGCCTAAATAGGCAATGTTTTCTGCCACCTCCACTTTCGCACTTCTCACTGACCCTTGCCTAACTAATGCCATCGACTTTCGTTTGAATAAAGCTGCTCCTACAACTCAAATATCCAGCATATGAGTATAGTGAGCATGCTTATAAGTTAATGGCAGGAGAGAGGAAGTAACTTGGACGCTCATAACAAAATGTGGCAGGCAGGCACCGTCGGAATAATTGGGAAGAGGAGGGTACAAAAAGCGGTGGAGCGCACGTGCCGTATGGAGGGGAGCGGGTTCCTGAGACCGGCGCTGGAGTGGCACGCAGAGGGCGGTGACCACGGGGGGACACGGACAGACCGAGGTGGTGGTAACGAGGGGCTCAGATTAGACCCCGGGGTTTTTGCGCACTGTGCAGCAGTTGCAGGGTCTCGCAAAAGGGATGAAGCGATGGCGAGGCACATCGCCACAATTGGCCACGGTGACATCCTGGTCTCGGTGATAGCAGCATACCTTTGTTACACCTCAGAGTGTACGACACCATTTTACAATAATGTTAAGAACTAACAACATTTAGAAGTTATTTTACCCGCTTAATTAAGGGAAATCAATCAGCTTAGTTTCAAATATATATATATATATAATTTTTTATTATTGCACTCTTTGCCGCAGGGGTCTCCCATGTCACATAGATATTGTAACTCTACAGGGTGTATAAAGGAGAGATTTACTAAATTGATTTTAACTAATTTCTGTAGGGGGTAAAGTTAGATGTTTAGTAAGTATTCAGGATTTAAAAAAGTCTGACTTGAAGAGTGTTAATACACTCATAGGGCCCAATTCATGGAGCAACTTTATCCATCTTTCAGAAAGTTGGTTTTATTAAAGACGCAAGCACTGTACTGTAGAACAGGGGTTTAGTTGCAAGTTGGGTGCAGTAGATGTACAGTGGTGGCTATGCAGCATTGTCGGTACTGTAATTGGCAATATATTCAAACAAATGCAGGTGACATGAGCGATTTTATGATCAGTCAGTGTTGTAACGTACACTATTTGAAATCCATCATTCAGTTACAGGTTTGGGTGTTCCCGGTAGTTGTGCAGACGATGAGGTAGCGGTGCACGTGGTGTTGGGTCGTGTTGTAAACCTGCCAAATGGTAAGCACATTGTTGTGATTCTAGCACGAAACGTGGTGCATAGAACGTGGTTCGCCACGAAGGTTCCCGCGGCGTGGGAAGTGCAGCGAGGGAGCCAGAATCGGGTGCAAGTGATGTCGAGAATTGGTTGAGACAGCAAGGAGCGTCTCTATCTCTCCACGGAGATAGGGATGAGCTGATGGACCATCTGTGCCACCGCAAAACACAGCGGTGTGGGATGATGCAAAATGTTCTGTTGTGAGTGCCTGAGGTTAAAGGGACTCTTAACATATGACCACCCTGACAGTTGAATAACCCGGTGTCGGATTTCATATAGACGTGTGTGTGCGCAACTATGTGTGATGTGAGAGTTGACGTTTGGGTTGGTTATGTGTTACATTTAAAGGAGGTTTTTTCAGCCCAGAAATTAGCTGCATCCTGAGTGCTTCCTCCCTGTCCATCACGTTCCTCTGTCCCACTTTACACCCGATAATCCCACTGGGGCAGGCAGCACAGAGTGTCACAGTCAATGCATGTTTGTTATTTTTTGTTATTTTATTTGAACCTATCTACGTGACTTTACCGAAAGACCCAAAGAATATGTTGAGTGTGATTATGGAAGCAGAGTTTTTAGAATCAGTGAGGGTTTTCAAATAATTATCACTTCATGAATAATGTCCATACATCTGTATTTAGTCTCTCTGTATGCCCCCCTCATTATGGTAGTTAATCGGCATTATATCAGACGCCTGCATGTGACAGTGTCATACCAACCCTCACACGCAGATGTCACGCGAACTCGATATCTTTGCCCAAGACCATGGTGGGTCTCTGATATTGATAAGCAATTGTCACTTTAAAGAGCCATACTCCAACAATTCATCTTTCCTTGCCCTCTCACCTCAAAGAACGCTCTGTGTCAAAATTGCTTCTTCAACGGAGCTGGTTTTACCCAGAACAATCACGGCACAGGCAGGAGCACGAGGACAGTGGTGGAAAACGAGTGACCCATGGGTCGTGTGAGTTGCACCCCATAGAATGCGTGGCCAGACTTACAGTACATGGTTATATATAATCCTAATTTAGGTGAAACAAGCATTTAAAGAGGATGACCCAGCCTGAGTTAAATTTGAAGGGTCTCCCTTAGTGTAAGGTCGTGCCAGAGATCGGAGAGTGGAATAGAATTTAAACAGTGGCGGAGTGGCAGCTGCAGCACTGGTGTCAGCTCCCATGCCCTTTTGAATTCAATCTGTCTGATAGGCACTCGCTTGGCCAGTGCATTGTGCTGCATTATCAGCCGATGGAGAGAGGCAGACACATAACCGAATTCTACAAAATATCTTTCCTGCATCGTTGATGGGAAATACACAAACGACTTCATCTGAAATTAATTAAGCAGACGGCGAACACTTGCAAAGCACTACTCAACATCTACAGCAGCCAGGATCAAGACAACGCATGAATACATATTTCATTATGAAAAC